CCCTACCCCCCGCTCCACCCTTCCCCTCCACCTCCTTGCTGGAGGCCTGGAAGCAAGGCCTGAACCCAGTGAGAGGCCACTGTGGGGGTGCCAGGGTCTTGGGGAAACTGTGGGCCAGCAAGACGTCTATGGGATGGGGGTGGGGCTCAATTTCCCTTAATCAGCCATTCCTCTGAGGGGCCAGGCTGCCCATCTACCAGGAAACCTCGGGGCCTTTCCACAGGGAGGGGTTGGAACAGGGGGATCTGCTGCTTCTCTGCTTTCTGCTATCCCCTCTATGGGGGCCGGGGGATGAGACAGAGAGGAAGTAAGAGAGGCTGAGAGATTATTCTAGATAGAGACAGTAAGGGAGAGAGGGGGAGGAGAGAGAGGGGAGCAGAGTGGAGTTGGGGGGAGACCGTGAGGGGCTGAGAGACAGAGACCGGGATGGGGCGAGTGGGAGGCCGGGCTGTCTCGTCCGCAGCAGGCGCGGCCAGGGAAACGCAGGTGGTGGACGTGGCATGCATAATCTCAGGAGACGGCCACTTTAAATCTTAATTGGTTGCCTTTTAAATATCATTTAAGGGCTGGCTTCTCTGCCTCTCTCTAGTTAAGAAGGTGTCGTGTCAAACTCTATTACCTTGCTGGACGTCTCTCCCTTAAGTTAAAAAAAAAAAAGGAAGGAAACAGAAAAAAAAAAAAAAATGGAATCATCAGCCGAGGTTTGAGAGGTCGATAAAGCTTTTAGATTTGGAGACGTTTTCCGGGAGCGCATTTCCTGCGGCTAAGAGTTGTTAATGGAGCTTAAGGAATTATCTTAGGCCGGCGGCCGGGAGAGCCGTATATTTCCCGCGCCTGCTCCCTTGTCGAGCTTGAATATGCTGCTGTCAGACTCGCTTAATGAAAAGTAACGCACCGCTGATTACAGTTTTATTTGGGCTCTATGTAAAGAGCGCCGTTAATTTAGCATCTCCTCCTTGGTGTGTTTGAATTCGCCACGCCTGAATAACTGAGCGCGCCGGCCCTGCCAGCCTCCCGGCGCCTTCCCAGCCCTGCTCTGACAATCTCCCTGCGCGCCCAGTCGCCCGCCCCGACCCTTCCCTGTCACGCCCCCGCCCCACTGACAGCGACCTTCCCAGCGCCTCCACTCAGACACCTAAAATTCGCCCCCTCCGTGTCACCTCTTTGCAGACGCCACCCCCCCACCCGACTTTGGGACTGTCCTCCGATCTGACACCTCCCCAGCCCACAAGATCAGCCAGAGGGTGTCTGGGGGTGCCTAAGGCAAACCTGCTGGACTGATCCCCAAGGGAAGGGTGTGGGGGAAGCGCCCCGCTCCAGCGTGTCCCCTTGGAAGGGGGCTGAATCTGCCTCCCCACCTGCGTCTTTCACACAATCTCGCAGCTTATTCAAATAAGCCAGTTGAGTCAGTCAGTTCCACCGAGATCCGGGGGCTCCTGCGAGATGGAATTCCGATGGCCGGGGCCATGGAGAGGGGCTGGGGTCCCCAGGTCAGCGAGCATGGGTGATGGCAGGAGCCCTGGGTCCTTCCCAGGAGAGAGGCCCAGGGCCCAGACCAAGCCTGACCCGCCAACCTGCGCCACCCACGCGTGCCCAGGGGCTGCAGAGGCCCGCCGGGCTGCCCGCGGCCGGTTGTGTAAGGCCCGGGTCCAGGCCTGGGTTTTCAGCCTCCGCAGCCCTATCCCGCCTATCTGAGACGCAAGGCGAAACCTTGATTTCGCAGAAAACGCCTGGCTTTGTCTAGGGCTGGGATGGGGGCGCCTGGGCAGCCGCCCTCGGCCACATTAAAATTCCTGGCGCCCCAGCCTCGGGCCTCAACGCTCTCCCCCGAGACTCCACTTTCGCTATTACTGTCAAGTACCCTTGACTCTTTATTTTTGCCCTTTTATCTATTACAACTAATTCGAGTTCTTTTGCCCTTTTCAGTCTAAGACGTGGGCTTTCTGCAAAGCCTCCCCCTGCCAGCAAGCTCTTGGAGCGCGGAGCCTTTAGAAATTGAGGGGTTTACTGTCAAAATGAAAATTTCACTTCAAATTATCTTGGCTGATGCTCGCTCGCCAGGCCGGGGGCTCCCGCCGCAGCCTTTTGACAGGCACATCAGCCGCGAGCTTCCGAACCTCGATAATATCATCTTGAGCGCGAAAGTCAATACGGTGACAGCGCGCGGCCGGATACAATCCAATTACGCGCGGCTGCCCAGGCGGGCCTGGGGCTCGGCGGCGGCCCGGGCCGCTCGGGGTCTGGCGGCCGAGGTTCTGCCTCAAGGGCCAGGTCCAGGCCCCACCGCCTGGGTTCAGGGAGGGCCCCACCATGCGGGGAACCCTGGTGGACCCGGGGTCCCGGTTCCTCTCCCTCGGAGACGAGAACTCTCTCCAGCGCTCCGGTGAGGCCCCTCGGGCCGGCTTTCCAGGGCTCCGGTCCACCAGGGGCCTTCCCCGGGGTCAGGACCCCACGACGACGCAGTCCGGGCCGCCCAGGCTCCTAGAGAAGAGTTCCTCGAAGGCCGCGCCCCCGCCTCCCGCAAGACAACCCCGCGTCCCCGTCTGGAGTCTCGCGGCTGTCCGGTCCTAGGCCAGAGGCTGCCGCCGCCTCCTTGCCGCACCCCCGGAGCGCCCTCCGGGTACTTGGGACACTTCGGCCTTTGATGAGCCCAGCAGGGTTTCAGGCGGAGGCCTGGGGGGCGGGAGGAGAGGCTTGAGCCGGCCAGGCGCCCGCGGGGGATGCGGACCTGGCGCCGCCGCGGAGATGGGGAGGGGAGCCGGGTTTCTGAGCGCAGCTACCGTCCGGCCCGGCCCCTCGGCCCCGGATTGCTTCGCGGGTCCCTTTCGAGATCCCTTCCCGCCCTGCCCCGAGGCCCCTCCTCCCAGTCCCGCCTCGGATTTGAGGCCTACGAAGCTCTAAGCGTTTCCCTTCGCGGAGCCGCGGCTCGTCGGCTTTCCGAGCAGGGCTGATTCCCACTCCCACCCTCACCCCAGGATAAGGCTCTGGGAATTTAGAAGTTTAAAATCTAATCAAAGAAATCCCTGTTTTTCAAACTTCTGGAGTTTGGTGATGCAAGTCTGAGTTCTGGGTGTCACGCCCACATCCATTAGGGAGTTCAACGGAAGCCTCTAACTCGGCAGTGATGGTTCTTTTAAAAGTGGCTTAAAGTCTTGGGTCGAGCCAGCGGCTTTTTGGGAGTGGAGTCTGGGTCAGTTCCTGCCCCCCACTCCTTCCCTCCTGGATCGGCCCCCCCCTTTCCCTGGGGAATTCTCAAATCACCTGGTTTTAGATGTGTTCATTTTGCAATACAAACACCGTCACTCGGTTTTATTGGTTTTGTTATATCAGCCTCTGAAGCAGTGTGAACATACATTTTAAAAAACATAATATTATGGAGTCAAGAGTGTGCAAGAGTCAGGTCAGTGCAAGTGCTGTTGGTGAGCGTTATGTGCTGAGGACGAAATCGGAGGACCGGCAGGCCAGGAGGCTTCACAACCACCACCGCGTGCCTCAGCCGGAGGACAGCTGACCGCGCTTCAGAACGGAACCGCCTTCTCATGTAAACTTTTCACGTAAACTTTATGCTCAGGGTGGCCTCTTCTGCCCCAGAGCCTCTCCTTCCGTGTCGCGAGTTTGGGAATGGCCCGGGACTCAGGCCCAGGTGGTGGAGGCCCCTGCGTGGCAGCGCCGGGCTTGTCCATGTTCCCAGGGGTCCGAGTTCAGAAGTCTTCCTCTGGAAACTCAGGAAAAAAAGTTGGCGCCGTCCGCCTGAGTGCGGGTTCCCTCCTGGGCTCAGGCCCGCCCGCTTCAGGCGAAGGGTTTACCGCCGGCCTTGGGCAGGGCGAGCAGCTCCCGGGCGGCGCCCGCAGCATGGGCGTCCTGGGGCGCGGCAGGCGGAAAGGCGCGGGCCAGAGGTGCCGTCAGCACGTTCGCGCCTGCCCCCAGCGAGCGCCCCAGAGACCCGGGGTCCAGGAGGGCGCCCTTGGCGGTGGCCCAGGCCTGGTTCAAAGTGCTGTGCCTGAGGATAGGGTCGTGGAAGACCCCGTCCACCCAGTTTCTGAGGCTGGTTACCGGGGAGTCCTGGTGCCTGTCCAGGGCACCAGAGGGGACAGGGGCCACAGACGGGGACGTGGCGGGCGCGGAGGACGCAGCCGCAGGGACCGCGGGGCCTTGGCGCTTGAGCATGCACGACGGAAACTCAGTCTGGCTCAGGGCGCTGGCGGCAGCGGCTGTGGCGGTGTGCGCCAGGGACCAGATGCGCGGCTTGGCCTCGAGGCCCGCCGCCCCCGCCGGCACAAACCCCAGCTTGGTCTTGCAGGCCTGAGGGCCGCCCTCTGTGCTCGGCAGTGGCTCCGGCCCGGCCGCTGCGCTGCGAAGACAGCTGCGGGCCCTCTCCAGGTCCTCGTCCAGAGCAGCTCCGCCACCCGCGGCCAGAGGCATCCGGAGAGCGCCCGAGGCCTCCTTGCCCGGGCCCTCAGGTGCCGCGGGGACACGCTCCAGGCCGCCGTCCAGGGACTGGAAGGGCGGCTTCAGCTCGCACCCCGGGGGCTCCGCTTCCAGCGGGTCAAAGTCTTCCAAGTCACTAAGCTCCAGCTCCTTCTCCTCTTTGCCTACGGGCTCTGCGGGAGAGAACGCGTGGCCAGTGGAGGGAGAAGGGTGGAAGGTGAATCAGACCCCCTGTCCCCGCCCACCATGGTGGTCCTGACGCCAGGAAAAGCACTCGGGGCCTTTATTCATGTCTTCCATTTCCTCCAGAGGCCACCAGGTCACAAAGTGGCAACGCAGGAGGCCTCCAATGGGGGACGGGGTGTCTAATATTTTTAAACGTTATTTGAGTTTCTTTAAATGCTTAGGGGTGACCACTTCAGTCCCCACATTCATAGCCTGAGGCAGAACCGGTTTGCACAGTGACAGCCTAGGCATGTGGCTCAGCGTTTGGGACCCCCAAGACGCCCTAGAACCTCAGAGAAGGCAAAGGAAGGCTCCAGCCTGCACCCCAGAGCCTCAGCTCCCAGCGACAACCCCCAACCCACCTGCGTTCTTGGAGCTCTTGAGGGGCTCCTCCCGCACATCCTCCTCGGCCCCCTCCTCCTCCTCGCCCTCCGCGTAGGGCCGCTTCTCATCTGCGCACTTGTTCCTCGGAGGCCACGTCATCTTGTTCTCTTTCTTGAGGCGCCGGCGCGCGTTGGCGAACCAGGTAGAGACCTGCGTGAGGGTCATCTTGGTGATGATGGCCAGCATGATCTTCTCGCCCTTGGTGGGGTAGGGGTTCTTGCGGTGCTCCTGCAGCCAGGCCTTGAGCGTGCTGGTGGTCTCGCGCGTGGCGTTCTTGCGCCGCGTGCCGCTGTCCATGGTGCCGTACCTGGAGACAGGCTCTGCAATGGGCGCTGGCCGGGCCCTTTGGGCCCAAGGCATCGTGGGCGACGGGGTGGGGATCCGCCAGGGGCATGCAAGGACGGGGTTTGCTTTCCCGTCGTGAGGTTGTGGTCATGGTCATAAGGCCCGGTAGGACACAGTCCCAACCAGGTGCTGCTGCCTGCTGGTACTTGTCTTCTGTGGCCCATGGGCAAACATATTTCACTAAACTTACAGGGAGCCTGAGCTCCTTCCCAAGCCAGAGAGGTCCAGGCCAATTATTTTATGGGGATGGCCACCTACCCCTTTGATCCCCAAACCATAAAAATGTATTCGACATACGAGCCCACACCCTGATAGGTTAACACCTGTGGCCAAGAAGAGTCATTATTTTCCATGAGGAGAAAGTGCCCAGGGGGCCTAAGTGGACTTTCTTTGGCTAAATCTGTAATGGTTGCACCGAGGAAGGTGGGGCGTGCTGTCCAAAAGTGGGCCAGCAGGGTCACCACGGGCTCCCCCGTTCCCACTGCAGGGGCAGAGTGGACACTCGGAGGGAGGTGCCCGGAGTGCACAGAGGCTGCCTGTGAACTGGCCTTCCAGATTCCACTTCCCTGAAAGCTGCCAGGCATCGAGGACTTCTGGGGTCCAACAACGTGGGGGGCAGGGGAGACTGGGGAGCATTTTAACCCGTGGCTGTGCAGGAGCAGGGTCGCCAGGAGGCTGGACCCGATAGACCAGAGTCAGTTCAGCCTGATCTAGAAGCGTCTCTCTTCCGGCCTCCGGCCTTCCAGAGAGGTGGTGGTGGAGGAGGGGTGGTGGTGGCTGACAGTGCAGAGCGCACGGGGCCGCCGCTGGTTAGGAGGGGCACGTCCTCACCTGTCATAGGGGTACTGGCCCAGAGCTGGCTCGTAGGGGTAGTAGGCGGCAGCGGCTGGCGCCAGGCCCGCATGCGCAGATCCTGTCCCGTCCTTGGAGTCGAAGCTGTTCTGTAGGAGCCAGGAGTCTGGGGTCGCAGCTTCCGGGGAGGCGACCCCACTCCAGCCTCTCTCCTAGGAGCCCTCTGCTCCAAAAGCTTCGCCCGGATTCCTGGGCAGCCCTGCACCCGGCAGCGAAGGAGCTGATTTCCCCGCCCGCTTTTGAACCTGGTCTTCCAGACGGGAAGTGAGGTTGTTCTGAGTTGGGGAAGCCGTGTCGGGGGAGGGGAGCGGGGACGTGGAGGAGGAGGAAGGTGGAAGGAAGTGAGAAAGAACTGGGGGCCGGCATCAGGGGGCACCTGGGAGAAGGAGCGGGGATTGGAAGCGCTGGGGGCCTCTGGTGATGTACTCGAGGAGGGAGGAGAGAGGGGTGGAGAAAGGGGAGGGACGCGGAGCGAGGGGATGGAGGCCAGGAGGGGAGAAGGGAGAAGAGAAATGGGGAGGAGCAAGAGGTGGGGAGGAGCCAGGAGGGGGGAGGAGAAGGGAGGAGGGGGGAAGAGGGGGGGCGGAAGCAGGGGCGAGGGAGGAAGAGGGAGATAGGAGGGTTGAGTCAGAGAGGAGCTAGGAGGACAGGAAAAGGGAGGCCTGTAGCGTGAAGGAGGCGGGGAGAGAGGAGTGAGGTCGGGGAATGAGAGGAAAGTCCAGGAGGGAAGAAGGGGGGAAGCACAGGCAGACTCAATCTGCAAGCTGATGAGGATTCAGTTGGGTACCAAAACCAAGAAACACAGCGGCCACCTGCCGGGCCACCCTGAGGCAGGGGATGGGGGTGGGGTTCCGAGGGACCCGGCTGGGAGGCGCAAAGTTGAAGGGAGCCAAGGTGAGCGCCTCCCCTCTTCGACAGTCCGGGACCCAGAGGACTGGTGAGCCTTCTGGGGGAAAAGTGGGCTTGGCAAATCGAGGGACAGGGGCAGGGCAGGGGCTAGAGATGCCCCCCTTACCAGCGAGTAGAAGGCGGACGCCTCCGAGCCGTAGGTCACGTAGTTGCCATAGCCCTGCGATCCGCCGTAGGGACCCCCGTAGACGCCCAGCGCCGCGGCCGAGTTGAGCTCGTGGCGCGCGGTGGCCAGCAGCCGGCTCTCATAGACCGGGCAGTAGACGGGCGCCTGGGCTGAGGCGGCGGGCCCGGATTCCGCTAGCGTGCGGCCGCCCGACTCGCAGCACGTGCTCAGAGAGTTGGTGGCCATCAAGAACTGCAGAGAGAGGCCGCGAGGAAGGGCGGGAACCCGGGCGGGAGGCTGGGGTCCTGGTCCTTGCCAATCCCGTACGCTGCACACGACGGCGTGTCCCTAGTCCCCTGGGGCCTCCCGCAGTCCACGCCAGGCCGCTCTCCCCTTTCCAAGAGCTTGTAAGCGCCCTGGCCTCCCTCGACACGTGGGGCCCAGCCGGGCAATGACACCCTCTCCGGGAGGGTTTCCAAGGCCTCTGACGCCATTTGCGCGCCAAGCCGCCTTCCCCAAGAGCTCCTTCGGGTCCTTGGACTCACCTGGAGCACGGCCTGAGACTTGTGAGTCAAACATCAGGGAACCAGGACCGGCCAGTCGGATTTTCTCAGCGCCTCGGGATTCTCCCAGGGGCTTGGCGCCCACGGGTTGGGCGTGAGGGGCGCGTGACCCATGCCCTACTATCTGGGAAGCCACAGGCGGCCGTAGGTCCGACCTGCCCGCCCTGCCCCTCCCCCATCTAGGGCCCCCATCACTGGCACCTGCTAGGGCCTCGGGCGGGGGGGCTTCGCTTACCTGGGGAGCCGAAGAGTAGGGGTATCCAAACTGCGGGTAGGACATGGCGGGCGCGAGCCGGGGCAGACGGGCGGGGCCAGCAGGGTCCTGCGCGCTGGGGCCGGCGTCGCGCGGCCGCTGCTCCGGGGCTGCGGGCTTCTAGGCTCTGGGAGGGAGAAGCAGAAGAGCCGGTTAGTTCACCCCTGCGCTCCGCAAACTTTTCTAACCGGGTAACAAAGTGAGCCGCAGTGGCCGCAGCGCTTCTTTTAACTTCGCATTCCCGAGGTCCGAGGGGCTCTTGGACCGACCGGCCTCGCAGCGGCGACAGAAATACATATTTTGCAAAAAAGAAAAAAAAAAACGAGTCGCGCGAACCCGTCAAGTCAGATGTGCGCGGCTTTAAGCGGCGGAGGCACTGACGTCAGCCCCACCCCGCGTAGCCCGGCCCCGCGGCACACTCGCGGGTCTCTCCGCAGGCGGCTTGGGCCGGGCGGGGCGAGGACAGTCCCGGCCGCGCGGTGGGCCGAGGGGCCATTCCTCGGGGCGTTGGCAAATGAATTCCGTCCGAGTCAATATCGCCCAGCGAGCGGCGTTTCTCCTTAGTCACCCGAGAACGAGAGGCACTTTTAATTAGAAATTAATTAATGAGCAGCTGCTCCTTCCCGCCCCTCTGTAATCATTCGTCTCAATTACAAATGAGACCTATGAAGGGACACGCGAGTGAGTCTTCGCTGAAGAGGTAATCAACAGTTAAAATTAGCCCGGCGCAGCGCAGGCGGCCGGCATGGCCTCGCTCTTGAGCGCTCTGCTCCCAGAGGTAGGAAGGGGCCGGCAGGCGCCCCACACGCGTCTAGCCACTATTCTTCAACCCGGAGTCTGCGACGCCTCCCGCGGGTGCCCACCCTACGCCGGAAAGGACTTTCAGAACCCTCTGCGGCCGCCAGAGAGCCCGCGAGTGCCTGTCCCAATGCGCGCAGGTGTGTGGGGCTTTGGGGCCTTCCTTGGAGCCCGACACCCTGAGACTGGCGGCCCAAGGGCTGTAGTGCAGCCCCAGGCGCGTGCCCACCGGCCGTGCCCCTCTGGGCAGCCGAGTGTCACCGGAGAACGCCGCTCCTTCTCCACCCCGGCGATTTAAGTTCCCGCTCAGCCCACCGCCCCCGCCTCACTTCCCCGACTTTCCTCCCCCATCCCTTTTCCGCCAGCCGCGCTCCGCCCGCCTCCCCCTGCCCCTCGCGGCTAAACCGGGGACTGCCGGACGGCCCCACGCGCTCGGAAAAGCAGGTTCCTCAACACAGGCCCTGGCCCCTCCCGCTACGCTCGCCCTTCCCGGCGCCCCGCATTGCTGGCTGCGGGGGAGGGAGCGTTGGGTGCCTGGCAGAGGCGCCCTCCCCTGTCGGTTTTGCCCAGCTTTCTGCCCGGGGCGCACGCAGCAATCGGGGGAGGGGGCCGAGCGCCCACCCCAGGACTTCCCCAGCCAGTACCCTCCCTGGGACCTTGCCCAAGTTTAAAGCGGAGGCCAGTGAGCAGGCGGCCAGAGAGCGCCCGGGCCATCCCGAACGCGCTCCCCGCCTTCTGCGCCACCGCCCTCCAGGGACCGGGGCTCGGCCCGGGTGCTCTCGTCCCCCGGGCCCGCCTCCTGTGGTAGGTTGGGAAGGAAGCTGCGCCGGGCAGCGTTGTGCAGACTTGCTCAGAAAGATTCCTGGGTTCAGACTTGCGAATCGCCCCAGGGTCACCCTCTAATTAATGATGACGTCCTCACCCTCTCCCCAGCTGCAAGCCTGCCTCCCAGAAACGAAATCTGCCGGCTCCTTTGACAGCTCGGTTGAAGGTGATTGATGACTATCTGGAGATCACAGTACACATCATATAATATCTGCTGCGTAATTGCTTTAATTTACAGATGAAAATACGAGTTCTCCGATCGCGTTGGACCGCAGCCGGCCACGTCCGAGCTGCTTGCAGAGGGAAACCATCGGAAATAATGAATAGCCGCTCCATGCAAATTATTCAGACAGTTTAGCGTCCGTAGCCGCGAGAAATATATAAAGAACACGCGTCAAATGACATTAATAATTGTTTCTGAATTCTGTATTGATTTCGCGGCAGGCCGTGTTTATTTCTTTCTCACCTGAATCGCTAATATCACCTTCCTGTAAATAATAAGAAACTAGCCACCGGGGCTTCTCGCTAGAAATGAATCTCCCAACCTCTCTCCTCCTGCTCCTCCCGCTCCTCCCCTCCCCCACCCTCCCTCCTCCCCGCTCCTTCCAGTTTTCTGGCTCTTCCTGAACATCCTCCTACTTCCCATTATTTATTGTTTACAAACAACTCGCTCTCTCCAGGTAATGAGGCCCGGCCAGGGGAGGGGTGCAAGCCCAGCGGGGTCCTGGGCTCGGACGGGGAGTAGAGGCGGCGGGGAGGCCCTCAGCAGCGGCTTGGCCTTTCTTCGTCTATTCCCGGAAACCTGGCGGCGGCGACTGAGCGCTCAGCCCGCGGAGGAGGAGAGCAGGGCCCAGGTCCCAGCCACCTCCGCCCTGCACCTCGGGGCTCTGGTGGAGCGGCTCAGCCCACCCAGACCTGAGGGGGGGTGCGTTTCTTTCCTTCCAGACCCGGGCGGGGCTCAAGTGGAGCCGAAGCCCTGGAATAGGCGGCCATTCATCTTCTGGGCAGAGGAGCTCACCCTCGGAGTCCGGGAGACGCAGTCTCCACTTCCCAGTGCGCCGGTCCGTGGGGGCCCTTAGGGGAGGGATTTCGGGGACTTCCTCTGACCACCAAGCCACCTTCTCCTGTTCTCCTTTGCCTTTCCAGCCTGTGTGCATAAATCGACGCTCCAATCCCCACCAGCAGGCGACCCTTTCTCCCTGAGCCAGAAGCCTGGCCTCGGAATCGGCTTTCCCAGACCGCTCCACATCATGCTCCACTTCCTGCCCACCCCAGGCCCCAGCGCATGGGGTCCAGGCCCAGTCACAGTCACCTTGCCTCGGGAAGCTCGAAGCCGCCCCGGAGGCCTCCTGACCCGCCCGGCCTCACCCAGGCCCCACTACTCATTCCAGGACGCAGGGTCTATCTAGTCTATCTCCTGCAGGCGGCCGCCCGGAGGGACGTCTCATTGAAACCCTGTGTCCTGGCTAGGCCTGCCTGTCCAAATGGGGATTCTTGCTGGGCCACCCACATCCCATAGATAATATTGGAATGTTGTCCAAGTGCCTTTACCAAAAGGCCAAGCCTGGAGCTGAGGCTCCCAATGTCCTTCACCAGCGATAGGACTGTCAGCATCTCAGGTACGAGCTGAACGCGTTTGCAGACCCGGAGTGCTGAACCTTCCTCCCTCTAGGGATCCCGGGTACTAAATACCCCCGTGAGCAGGAGGGCCAGAAGTCACCCGGCTCCGGGAGTACACAGCACCGGGTCAGCTCGGTGAGGTGCTCCCGCAGGCCTGGAGAGCTCCCAATCAGCGGAGGACCAGGGCCAGAGCAGGCCGCAGGGGAGGCAGGGGATGGTCAGCCCCAAACGCAAAGCGCAGGCCGGCCACCTGTTTTGAGGGGATTGCTGCTGGCCGTCGGAACCACGGGAGGCCTCTGGGGAGACAGAGGGCCTGACCCTTCTTCGGCCAGCTTAGCCCAGGTGCTGCAGGAGTTGCCCCGGGGGCCACCCATTCCCCCGAACGAAGAGCTGGTCGGAGCTCCTTCCAGCCCAGATAAGTTGACCCCAGCCAAAGGCGAAGCCGAGAGCCTAGGGCACCAGGCAGGGGCCTTTCTTTCCGAGGCCTGGGGCCAGAGCCCTTGGGGGCGCCTGTGCCCGCTCACTGTTCGGGACACCCGGGTAGAGTGTGGGGCTCAGAGGCCCCACGGTGGCTGACGCCGCTTTAGCGAACCTCGAGGTTGGCAGGTCACTTCTTCATAGCCCACCCCCGAGACCCCCTCGCAGCCGGTGGTAGGAGTAGCAGCCACAGGGACACGCTTTGAATCTCTGGGTTCCCAACCCCCCTCTTCTGGGGCCCGCGGCCCTCTCCCTCAGCTCTCCCGCCGCGCCCCCGCCGCTGGCTCCCTGGGCACTGCCCGAGGCAGGACGGAGCTCAGTCAGGGCGTCTAGGCCTCAGGCCTTGCCACTCCCGGCCCCCCACTCCGCGCCCCACGCCGGCCCGCGCACCCTGCTTCCCGAACTTGCAGCAAACCCAGCGGCCTCTGGAGAGCCCCCGGCGAGTGGCAAACTTTGTCCCCTCCAGCGCAAGAGCGATCCTCGCAAAGTTTGTGTGGCGGAGCCGACTCCCTACCTGAGCTGGGGAAGCTCCCGCCCGCGCCGTGTGGCTGCCGGGGCCGCGAGGAGCAGCGCGCAGCCCGGGACGCACCGGGGAGTCGCCGCTGCCGCCGCCGCCCGCGCCCCTCGGCGGCCGCACGGAGCCTCCGCCTCCTCGGAATGGGGGAGGGGTCTTGGAACCCCAGGGCGGGGGCGGGCGCGGGGCCCTCACCTACCTGCGGTGGCGCTGGGCCACTCCCGGCCCTCCGCGAGGGTTCGGCGCGGCAGCTCGGCGCGCGCGCTCCAGCGGGGAGCAGGCGACAACTAATGGAGACATTTCCAGGCGGAGCACCTGGCGAGCGGAGCGCGCCGGCGTCCCCAGGCGCCGCGGTCGTCAGCCGAGCCCGCACCGGCGTGACGTGGGCGAGCGAGCGCGCTGCTCCCACCCGGCCTCCCATTAACGCTTTCTCCCGCGGGCGCCGCGCTCCTGCCAACTTTCCCTCCGCCCTGCCCGCGCGGCGCACGGGGTGCAGGCGTTGGGGTGAGGGCGCCTGGTTGCCGGTAGGGACGTTGGGCGCTGTCTGGGCGGTGACGCAGGGCTCCGGGAGGACACTCAGCCCTGACCCAACAGCAGGAAGGCGCGCGGGCCGGATTTGGCCAAACGCTAAGCTCGCTGCGGCCGCGGGCTCTCGGCCCACGGGGCCCCTCTCCGTGTTTGGGCTGCCCCACCCAGGGACGGCTGGGCCCGGCGCGAGGAGCTGCGCCCGGAAATAGCCAAGCTCGAGGTCCGCAGGGTTTCCCGAGTCCCTCCTAAGTGTCGGTCCTTTCCCCCTCCCCCAGCACCCCCAGGGCCTGTGGAGGGCGAGGCTGTTTCTCCGGCCTGAGCCACCCTCGGAATTGGCTGCGGGGCTCTCAGGCCTGGCCTGTCCTCCCCTGCCCCTCCCCCAACTCCTTCCGTGCTAAGCGGCCCAGTTCTGGGTTTTCTCCTGGTGCCCACACTAGTCCCTACTCGGCACACTCTCAGGACAGCAGGCGGTGGCAGGGCCAAAGCCCAGGTGCGGGCACCAGGGCCCGGGCAAGTGGGGTTGAGTGGACCACAGTGACAGCCGCCTGGGGACCAGTGAGTCTGTGACCTGCCTGGGCTGCGAGTATTTCCTGGCGGGGAGCTTGGTCCCAACCGCCAGGGTCGTGGGAGGGCCTGGGGCTGGACCTCTGGTCTGGGATTAGGCTGGGGCTGGAGGGCCTTCTGCTTCAACAGCCTGAGGCCAGGACCCATCCAGGGGAGGTGGGTCTGCCTACAGCTCACCCTGCCCCTCCCTCTGGCAGCTGGGAGCCCCCCACCCTGCCCTCGCGCAGCCAGGCACCAGTCCGTCTGTCATCCACAGAGCTGCTGCTTGCAGAGGTCAAGTCAGGCCCTGAAGGGAGGCTGGAGCAGCAGGTGACCATCTGCCCAGATCAGAGCCGGAAAGGACTTGAGGATGGCAGGGCCCAGGGCTCCCGGGGTGTGGAGGAGCTAAGCCGCGAGAGGCCACTTGCCAGCTATTGGCCGGGCTAGGGCCGCAGGCACCTCCTGGCTCCCATGCTGCAAGACAGCCTCACTCCTAGCCGGAGGATGTCCTTCTGGGCAGTGCCATGGGGCACTGGGGGGAGTCCCCACATGTATTTACTTTCTTTTTTTATTCTACCTTCCTCCCCCTCATTTTACTTCAAGAACCATGAACTTGTTTCTTGTCATCGTGGTCATGCAGTGACGTTTGAGGCTCGCTGACTTGGACAATCACTGAAAAAGTTACTTGCATCGTTTTCACGTTTCCTTCAGCTCTCTCTGCAGCTGTGGGGAAGGTAGCCGGCGTCTGCCTGCCTCCCTGCAGCACAGGGACCGTCTTTGTCTGCAGGCCTTGCTCATCTTTCTTCTTTTCCTCCACCCCTGTGGCTTCCATGGGGAAAGAAGAGGGCCCGGAGTGTGCAGCCCAGGTGCCGCATCCGGAACTCCAGGGGTTCCCCTGGGAAGGCCGGGCTTTGGTCTCTGGCCTGCCCTGGCAGCAGGGAGGTGGAGTGGACCATGAGGCGTGGCCCAGACCATGCGTGTGAGTCACCAGTGCCGCTATGGGCAGACTCTGGAGCACAGGGAAGGGGGCTCTGGTTCTAGGTCTCTTCCCTCCAGCTTGCTTGAAAGTGTGGGGGGCAGATGGGCGGAAGCAGGAGTGCCCTCCATGTCAGAGGGAAGTGTCCTCCTTGGGAGGTGGGGAGGGCGTCTTTGATGCCAGCCAGAGGGAGTTGAGGCCCAGCTGGCTGCACCCAGTAAGGGAGAGGAGGCCCCTCCTGATGTGGACTCAGCTTCCTGCGAAGGTGCCGTGTAAGCCAGGAGTGTGCCTTCCCAGCCACGCTTCACCCCGTGAACTCCTTCCACAGGCTCTGCGGCCTCTTCAGCAACAGCAGCAGTGGCTGAGAGGCCCTGAGGCCCCCAGATGTGGAGCCCAGGGGCACTGCCGGCCAGAAAGTCTCCACTTCTAGGATCTTCATAGCTCCGAGAAAGTCAGGTGTCCTCCAAAACAACCCCGTCCCCACTCCTATCGAGGCTGCGTGTGTGACTTTATCCCCTTCCCTGCAGGGCGGGGCCAGCTGTGTCTCTCCCCACCATGATGCTCCATCCTCAGCAACCGCCCTCTGCCCCTCAGCCCTTGACCTTGTGGGCAGGGGAGCTGCCCCCAACCCCGCTGCTGCGTTTCCAGGCCCTCCTGAGCTGGCTCTCTGAGGAAAGGATGGAAATCCCCAGGTCTTGGCCAGGAGGCCTGGCAGGGAACATCTGCCTGGGGCCGCCATGCGAGCA